GATGAAATGAGATGGTTTGTTGGATAAATGGTTGACTAGATGTAGGAGTAGAGAGATGGAAAGATGAAAGCATAGAATGAGAAGGATGCATGCATTGGATGGATGGATGGATGGATGGATGGATGGATGGATAATCTGATGGACAGATGCATGGATGCATGCATAGATGGGTGGGATGAATGAATGGAAGCGGATGATTACTGAATGAGAGATCGGAGAATATTTATCTGCCATATGTATATTTGATGAGACATTGTTTTCTTTTGATCAGAAATCCTCGAGTGTGATCCACGGAGACAGCTCACTTCCTGTCTGCACCAGCCATCCAATCAACCCTCAGTCTTTCTTTACTTACTGGCCAACAACCATGTACTCACAGTACCAACATCCACACATGAAAGACCATGACTACCTGACCACGTGGTTTGATCCAAGACCGGAAATGAAAGGTAATTAAATTACTGGGTGTCAAAGGCTGTTACGGCACAGTCTCTCTCCATCTCTCTCTGGTTCACGCCTAGGGTCGCGAGTGAGAACTGAGCAACATAAGTGAGTTGAGTTTGTTTGCTTTGTTGTTTTCTCCCTTGCTACGAGGGTTTATCCGTGTTCTTCAATAGCAGGGTTTTCCTCCCTCCGTAAAAATTAACATGTGTATGATTTGAGTGTTGTGTGTGAGTCCCTTAGTTAGGGGAAGTAACGAAGGTAATCAATAGAAAACCTTCTTGAACAGGGTGACTAACTCGAAAGAACTAGCTATTTTATGCCCCTTTTTTTTTTGTTTGTTTGTTTGTTTGTAAATATATATTATACATTTTCGTAATGTTCTATCTTATCATGTGTACAGTAAGTTGAAGTTGAGTCTTACGCATGCGCACCGGTACGCTTGTAAGATTTTCGAAATGCGTGTAGATCTAGAAAAGCATATTCGCATATTCCCATTCCTTTGTTGAATAGTGCGATTAAATCGTACATTGTCTTATGTGTCGTTCAGATATTGGAGTAATGACGTACCAAGACATCAAGAAAGAACCAGGTTCACCTGACAGCCAATCAAAATACTGCAGCGAGCAGTATGACCAGGTAATGACTAGAGTGGGATGAGTTTATTAAATATATATTTACAGTTGCATAACGATTTGCAATGTTGTTAATGCTGTTTTGCAGGATTCTGAGACAAGCTTGGATGAACCTCGTCACTACGAAATCAAGCAAGGTAGAAAGAGCTATCTATACTATCTCTCAACTTAACTGATTAGACCTCGGTGTGGCTACGAACCTCTCCATTCAGCTTGACTTTTTCTTTTTTTGCAGAAAAAGCTGTTCCCAGTGATGAAGAAATCGTTGATGTAAGTATTTATAATTATCATCCAAACAAGGCAATGCAGGGATGGGTCCATGATTGTCTTTAAGAGGGGGTCTTTTGGGGGATCCACCTTAAAAAGACACTAAACCAAAAAAGAGCAAGTGCATTCTGTTCTCATAGCAGGGTTGCAACCCACACAACCCTTCCCCCTTTCCTTGGATCCACCTGGGGGAAACCAACACTTTTGACATTCAAGTTTGGTGTGAACTTTAATGCCAAAATGCGCGCGGTGTACTCCTTCAGCCCTTAGACTTTCGTTACACCACAGCAGCACCACTCTTGGTACTCACCTACCCATCCCTGAATGCACTAAATAATGAACCCTATAAACTTGCTCTCTCTAGCTTGTTGACAGCATGTCACGTGATAGTGACTCCCTTTCACACAGGAGTGAGTCATCATCATTTGATGAATACGAAGCTGAAATGAATGGCCAAGGTAAACCATAATACTTTCACTCCGTTCCTGCCCAAATCACGTGCGTTGGCTCAATGACATCATTTTTTGTATTTATAGAACAGTATTCTAAAAGTCCTTCGAGGGCAAGCCCAAAGAGGCCTTCGTCACTGGAGCTTCCATCAAAGCAAGAACTGTCGTATGCCATGTCATATGAATACCAAAACACCCCACCCCCTCCCCTCACACCTGAAAGCACTAGTGAAATACTGAAGGGGATTACGTCACCAGTTACCCAATAGTTACCATAGTAACAGGTGTGGGAACATCAAATGGCTGACCATGAGTGTGATGACTGTTCATTAGACAAAGCCTCCCGTGTGTGGTCGTAATATATTCACCCAACTGGTTTATATAGCTAACTTGTTACTGCCGAAATATATTGCTAATGTTTAAACTCAGTTAATAGATTGAGTAATAGTAATCAATAATAACAATGTTTATACAGAAATGAAAAAGTAAAGGTTGCACGTAACAGTCATCATTTCTAAATAAGGGATGATGAGCTTGTAAGGCTACCATTTTACGTGGCTAAGCAAGCCACGGTGACGGTCAAAGCATCTTAATTACAGCAAAAATAATAATAATTAGGCGAGAGAAAACTATTTTAAATCTTGGTAAATTATCCTGATAGCTCAAACTTTACCAAGAGATTAGACAAGGAATGGAGCAAATGTCTATGCATGCACTGCAACTTATCCAGTACAACGTTTAGTGTTCTTATGGCCCTGCCTGCCGTTGTAATATAGCAAACTCATTCTCATAGAATATTATCTCCTTGAAAATCGAACTGTATTCCTTACAAGGAAAATAACTATTACGTAGCTCGTAGCTCGCCTCTTTTTGTATGCTTTTAAACCAATATTGGCTAGAGCTATATAAGCTTTCACATTCAGAGACCACGTTAGCATTTGAAATCACATCAATATTAATGTCTTTTCTCATGTACAACCGTTCAAGCGAATGACTTGAATGGAATAGACTGTAATTGCCCAAGCTGAATGGGTCTAATTCCCTTGTAGTTTCAAGTTAGTATTATACAATATAAATTTTACATTTACTGAACTAATGATTACATATAACTAATTTATTTATAGTTTTAGTAAAAAAAGCATAAATTCACTTAAGGACTAGAGGTGCGCGTTCAACTTGTACTTTAGCTAGATGATTTATCCGTTATATTCATACGTTAATATCCAACTGCTTCAGTCAATTCTATTGTAAAACATTAGTAATTCCTTAATATGAAATAAACTGAAGACCATTTTTAAGCTTCACGACCTCTTCGTGGAATAAAGTAACCTTGTTTTTGCTGCTGATCTCCGCGTTACGCACCTTTTAACGTTTTCTATCCAACTCAATCTCGTACCCAGAGCCCTTATTTCTTACTGCGCATGCTCGACGAAATAATTGGGCTCTGGAAAACTCCAAACCGGAGGACCCAGATTCTGGGTTTTTCGCACATGCGCATTATTACAGACTAGGTAAATTCAAAATGGCGGACGATGGTCAACGAGCATGTGGATTTGCGCTTGGAAAATTAGGTTTTGAAGATGGTTTTCAGTTAAATTAACTCCGAAAATATCTATTGGATGGACATCAATACATTGTCCATTACAAAACCGGCAAAACTTTGAAAAATCCGGCCCTACAGGCTTTTTTGGTGTACTTAATTCGAGACGCCATCTTGTTTATTTTCCCTAGTACTGTAATTTTTACTTCCGGTATCTTCCTTTGTTCTCGAGAACCAATCACAGCACAGGAAATATTGGAGTTTTCCAGAGCCCAATTATTTCGTCGAGCATGCGCAGTAAGAAATAAGGGCTCTGGGTACGAGATTGTATCCAACTCTCCGAAATTGAAAAAAAACTGGGTCGAGTTGTCATTGCAGTGCATTGTGGGACTGAAACGACATAGACGCCATTTTGGAAATATGTCCGTAAAACAGCCCCACAATGCACTGGAAGGACAACTCGACCAAGCGAATTTAGTTAAACCGTTGAATAGTTGACCTAAATTATATAGATAATCTATTATGTGAATATACGAGTAAACGGCTACTTAGGTCAAGAGGTGAAACGATGATGCAATCGTCTGTCTCTTCATTTATTCTCTGGTAAAGTAAACCCCCTGACTCACAAGACCGTTGGCGCGCATATACTATTCTAGGTGACGTCAAATATTTATCTAAGTTTCTCTATTCAACAGTGTGACTAAATGCATTCTAAGTAACCATCAGGGAGAATATTTATTTGTCGTTTTGGCGTACGTAGAAAAGATAGTTCAAGTTAGGGATTTATACCTAACGATAACAACTTACTATGATTTCAAAATCTTTTGAAGTCTCAGCTAAAACAATTTCATGAGGGAGAACATTGCGGCTTTTAAACAGGGTCATATGGCCGCAGCAATCTCATGTTATCGTTCAACCACTTAAAAGCCCTTTCATCATTGATGCATAACAGAATGACAGACACCATAGGATAAGAGGGGTTCTTTGCAGTAGAAACCGGTGTCAGCTTGAGCATAAAACCTTTTTCAACGTGTGACCACCTCGTGCCAATCCCTTGAGTATTATCTCTTTAATGAATAATGCTCAAACTGCTTACCAAGATATTTGGCAAGGATCTTAGTCTGCAAGTCAATGGTTATGCGCACTTGGTGCAAAAAGGCAAAATTGATTACGCCCGAGCTGACAAGGTCTATCTTGTAACTACATTGATTGAAATCGACCTCCGTCAACTGTCTACAACCAAAAGCCTAAAATAAATAAATGGATAGCCTTAATATAGAATATTACCATTGAATGAAGAATGGTGTATTAGTTATGACCGACACACGGGTATAAAAGTGTAACAGTCCGTCTCTTGGTAACGGAAACCCATAATACTACCACTTCACAAGTTTTATTAGTTAAGTCATTCCATCACTAGTAAAAATAGGTCTTGACTAAATAGCACAACTGAAATACACGAGGACAAGTGTTTGTCAAGCTGGTAAACAGTGCTTTTTAGCTGTTTTCATTTTCCTAGTGAGGGTATTCCCCTAAAGTCATCCATGCCAAGTGATATAACAACGCCTTTTCCTAGATGTCACGACCCGAATCTATATTTAGCACATTTCTCAGCTGCCACACCAGAATGAGTAAGATATATCTGATGGCTTCAGTCGGAGAGATATATCAAATTGACTGTTTTACGAATTCAATACTAGGGATCGATATAACCAGAAAACAAAACGGGAGAATGATTAATGACCGAGTGTATGTATATATATAGAAATACATGTGAACATGTCGTATGCGTGTAGGGCAGTCTTAACGAAACCTCGTTGAGAACTAGTACCAAGTATAATAGATTGCCGAGAGACTATGTTGGGACAGTCCTCTCTATATGCATATATATRTAGTTAGATTAAAACTTATTAAAAGCCTTTAAAAAAATYAAAAATTAAAAAATGTATCAAATCCTGAAACAGCCTCTGGGCTGATCAAAGTCAGGAAATGGCTAAGCTCACAGCTAGATTTGGAATTTAAGTTATGCACCCATTTCAAAAAAAAAGGTTGTCGGTCGGAGATCTGAAATCTGATTCTGTAGAAGAGTATGTAGCAGGCTGCAAATTGCTGTAATGTATTCGCAGCCGAACAATGTAGTTTCCTTTTCGATTAGAATATGAATTAAGAGTTTTAAGTTAGGAAATGTGATATTTCATCGGAGGGAAAAGAAGATAGTTGTGCATTATAAGGATAAAACCTCCAGACAAAACAAACAGGACTGAGGTGTCTTAGTAGAAGCGTTGGGGGAAAACCCCTCGGCGTGTGGCGATCTCTATAAGGACTGTTCATAGCAGCAAAATATATAAAATAAATAATCATAATAGAAAATAAATAAATAATGATAAATTGCAGCCGATCAGTACGTTCTAATTCTGTGATCCCCTCATCTCAAACACGCATTAACATTTATTCCTACTAGTATTTTCGTGCACTTAGGATAGATTTTCATGTCAACAAAAAAACTTATAAATACGGTTTGTTAAACAATAAATTATTCAACAGTTCAAAATAATTTATGCTTCATGATATCGTATGTATTAAGCATTTCTCGGAAATCTATATTTAGATGTTGATTTTGAGAGTCGTCTGACACTGAAACGCATGAATGCATTTTCATTAAATGTTTGGTATATTTAAAATTAGGGTCACGGGATTTGTCCCTGCCATATCAAAAAAGTTGGTTTATTGCTTTTGATAAGTGCACATATTTATGAAATGTGTATGTCTTTCAAATGAAAAAATAAACTGGAATGCTTGGGTTAGGGGATTCCCCTGGTGGTCGGCGTGGCTATTGATGCACACAACAGATTACATAATGATTATACTTCAGGTAAAATCTGCCTCAAATGGAAACTTAAAAGGTGGCAAAATTTCAGGGAAGTTTCGCTACTTCACAAGGGTCAATATTGCCAGGGTATTTATGGTTCAGCACCAGTTGTATTAAAAAAGGCAATCATCAAGAACACAACGACGGGTCGTAACGCGGGGGTTTTTATCCATTAAACACAGCTGGTTCTAAGACTTGTGCTTTCATGAGGTCAAATTAAACCAAGCCGAACCTTGCTTCAGATTCTTTCCCCTTTATAGAACAGAGATGAAAATGCTGTAAATATATCCATAACTCCGTGGCATGGGTTTTTTCGAATGCAGGCAAAAAAACCAGTGATTATTGAACTCCGTAGTTCAGTCACTACACGTACGTCAAGATTTAAAGGAAATATTTATCAAACCAACTGACCCAGGCGGGAGATGAAATACAGGCTGTGATGAGCCTCACTAAGAGGCATATTAATAAGGAAAGAGCATTAAATCTTCTCATTTATCCTACTGATTTAATATTCACGGCCGGCTCTGAATAAGAATTTTTCTAAATTTCCAAAATTTTTAATTCGAATATTTTCCCCGCCAAGCCTTTGATCACCTTCCTTTTAACCTTTAATGTAGGTTCCTTTTAATAATCTTTCTACTTTTGATGACTTTTTTGGTGAAGAGGAATATCTAAGAAACGAAAAAGGTGATATTTGAAAAAAACATTACTCTAACAGATCAAAGGAACATTCTACAATGTATGGCAGAGATTATTATCGCTGAGAGGTATTCGATTATTTATCCAATCAACGTGGCATTCGGGGAAATTACTGGGATGCATGAGGGGAAGCCCCGAAAAAGCGCTCGATAAGCAAATATTTTTAAACTAGAGGCAAAATATTATTTCCTTAAATTAATATTTTTAATTAATCAGGAAACTTCATTCTTATCTAGAGACATAATCCTTGGCGTCGAGAGGGTGTATTTTTATGCCAAGATTCAAAGCATTGTTTCAATTAAGAAAAATAATATGACCGAAATCAAAAACCTGGTATGTTAAATTTTCAACAGCAAAAACTGCGTTCAAAGACAGACCTGGGCCATTGTAGATCTGAACTGGAAAATAACAACAACGAAAAGCTGGAAAAGGGTGGTTGGATATTTTACATTAATAAATATTGTTGGCCTCAACAAACTGAAAATAATTTGTGACAGCAACGGCGTAAACCAATCAGAGACCAATGATGCTAGGGGGAATCCCCGATACAGTAGTGGGAAATGTTATAAACCAAAACAACAGACAAAGATTCAGTTCACATCAGTCCAGTCAACACGAGAACAAGATAATACAAGAAAATACTTCTTCGAACAGTCGAATAAATTCCTAGAAACTGTAATCGAGCACAGCCTTGCAGAAGTCCAAAATTGACATTACTTTATAAGGTAAGTTAATCATTGAACAGCTAGAAGTTCTTCTGCAAAGACTGCAAATAAATCGGCCAGATTGACCTTACAGACCTTATACAGTCAAACTAACCTGCATCCATACGCGCCGATCATGATCAGCGAGAATCAGTTGGACAGGAGGGGTTTTGAATTTCTTACTCACTGAGTTCATAGCTATTCCTTGCTGTAGTGACTGAAAGCCAGTTCGAAACTGCAGCTACACCGCAGCTCCTGGTACACTGTTGCAACGCTATACAAACTCCGAGGAACAACACAACGACATATAGGAATATTCTTTCTTCGCTTTTGCCGATACTGGCTGGATATTTAAGCCCTTCTCGGCTTAGCTTGCTAGCTACGGTTTGACCATAGAGTAAACGTAAGGTGCCAAGGATAAAGCTTTTTTTGGGCTCGCATTTTCTGCACTTTAAAATGAGCCAGTCAATGATCTAAAACGTCATCACTTCATATGCATCTATAATATTCCATAGCTGACACCGAATTGAATTATTTTCGCAAAAATCTATTGCCGGAAAAAAGAAAAGAAAATTTCATCTAAAGGAAAACTGAATGGCAATCCGAGTTCCAAGAACAACAAGAAGTCAACAGGAGCGGAACGATACGCAAAAACGAGTTCCTGAGGTTCAGTCACGTAATTAAATATAATAATAGGCTTAATTCTTGGAATCGTGTTTCGACTTTTCTAGCATTTTTAATACGTTGTTTGTATTTCTGTGAATTCAGTTGCAGAAAATACGTTGATCTATCAAGATTAAGGCTACTAGCCGGAGAATACAAGACTAATAACGCATCCAAGATATCTGAAACCAGTTCAACATAAGTATGCGTGTACCCAGAAGACTTCCAATGCGCCTGTGGATCAAAGAGAAGTTGGACAAATCTGAATTCCCAGGAATGAGATGGATTGACAGAGAAGAAGGAAAGTTCGAAGTGTCATGGACACATGGCTCGCGGCAAACCTGGAATAGGGAAAGAGACCTGAAGGTGTTCAAGGAATGGGCCGCGTATACGGGAAAGTATAAACCTGATGAGCAAGAAGTGGACGGAGAACTTGCAAAACGATGGAAGACGAATTTTAGATGTGCCTTGAACGCGCTACCAGAAATCGAGCTGATCAGAGAAGAAAGTGAAGGAAGAGGAGACAAGGCAAGAAAAGTGTATCGAATGAAACATGATAAAGTGATGAAGACAAAAACACGAAAAATAAAAGGTAAGTACATGAACTAAAAAAAAACGGTTTACAGGAACCTGATATATTAAAGATGATGTTTTTTTTTGTTTTAGAAACTCGCAAGCGATTGAAAACCGATCTGGCACCACTGGATCGAGAGATTATCGAGGTAAGAAGACATTTACCGTATGTATCTACGAGACGTCTCGTCCCGCGTCTATGACTAATTTCCCTCGGGATACCCACTTGTAATGTGCAAATAGAAGTAGCGATGTTCATATCAAGACTTGTTTTTAAAATGGACCGCATTATCAATACATCACATCGATCTATGCGTGATTCAAGCCGGTGCGACCGTGATCTTTTTTTCCTTTTCCTTTTCTTTTTCCTTTTTTTTTTTTTTTTTTTTTTTTTTTTTTTTTTTTCTCTCTCTCTCTCTCTTTCGTTGATGTTGTTCAACATGAACTTGAAATTATTTCGCAAAACTCTTTGACAATTTGCAGTATTAATGTTGATGTTTTTGAATCCAGATCGTAGACCAGATGGAAGATGACTTCTCCTGGTCGCCTCTTGTCATCAAACACACAACAGAACAAGCTGAACATGATGGGATGGCACAGATGAAACGCTTGCTTGAAAGAGGTTAGATTTCCCGCCTTTTTCTTTATATCAAGTTACTTCATGCCTTCTTCGTGATTGGTGGGCTTGTAAGGCTAATAATATAATATTATCAAAATATTAATTTTTTCAGGTCATATATACCAGCCGTTTGGGTGGCACGCATCATCACTTGTCGAGGCCTGCTAAGAAATTTAAGACCTCTTCTTGTCACGTGACGCGAAGGAAGACAGACAGACAGTTACTTGTTAGGGGTGTAGCTCGTAGCTTAGTAGCCTGACCTGTCATATGCGATGTGGTACGAGTAATTGTCAAGTTAACACGGTTAAGACTCCCACAGCTACAATAGCCATATCGGAGATATTTATGGTGGTACTTCTTTATTGCTTAGTATTTACACTCGCCCCCAGTCCCATCCTCCACCCCGAGATGGCTAGTTCGTATGTATAGCTCATTAAAAGCTTTAAAAAGGTTCATTAACAGTTTTTAAAGAATTAGCTGTAGAATACCTTCACAATAATCGAGCAAGCTAAGATATTGTTTTACCCTATTTTGTATATCACTTATTAATAACAAACCAATGACGTATAGTAATTGAAAGCCAATCTAGCAAAGCACCCTAACGTACTCGGCCGCCAATATGAGATTGTCTTGTATGATATCAATAATAAACCATATGCGAAATAATCAAATAAAGTACTTGATACAATATGTACAAAGAAATAAAGAAAAAGTAAAAGTAAAAGAACACAGTATTGATAATGGAAATAACTTGAAAATATCGACCCTTGATTGTCGATATTACATTTGTCACCATGCAGGCAGCTCACCATGACTAGTAGTTTTTGTTTATGTTGATTTTGATATCAGTGCAACTAGACCAGTACAATACTCAGGGTAGGTTTAGTCACTTTGAACCTGACGACATACTGTGATGGATTAGTTTAAGAAGATGAGATGGCAACATATAGGCGTCATTTACCTCTAATTTTTGAAACACAGTCCCAGAACCCTAATTTATCCCTAAATTGCAGCAAAATAGGCAAATTTTGGAGAAAAGTTCAAATTTTTATTTTGTTATTTTGTACTTTGTCTTCGTCAATCACGAAATGACAAATACACAATCGATTTATAAAATACTGAGATATATTGAAGATTTGGGTGGGAAATTCAACTTCTTTAGCGCAAAAAAAGGCCCGTCATTTTACAACTTTTTAGAAGCACTGTTCTTCGTTTAGATCAGAGATTCAGGACCTTGTTTACGTCTTGGTTTGTTCGCTTGTTAGCTTGTCGTGGTTCTGGTTAATGAAGATAAATGAAATACCGACGCTGAAAACATTAGTAGTTGTTAAGAATTTGTTTTTTAATTAAACGCTATTACAAACTTGCTTAATAGGTGACGACTGAGCAAATGTCGCGCTTGAAAGGGCAATTGTTTTGGTATCAAATATTTCTTATCAAATACTAGTTACAATAACGTATCCATGCCCCTTGTCGTTATAGCAACAAGTGTTAYTTTGATCTGTTCCAATGTTAAACGACCCTCCACCACCCCCAGAGGAATCAGAGTTGTTATCCCCACTAGCACCCCCAGAGTATCCTCCTCCTCCTGCTGCTCCACCACCACCCCCATAAGCACCTCCACCTCCTCCAAAACCGCCGGGTACTGTGTTCGTATAAGATCTTCCTCCAGCTCCTCCTTGTAGGAATCCCTTGCCTCCCTCTCCGCCTGTGCCTTGAGATCCTCCGAAGCGAGTACTGCTGCGGCCAGACGAGTAAAAGCCACCACCACCACCCCCTAGAAATAATCAACAGATAGTTACAAACCACCACCACAACCCCCCTAGACTATAATCAACAGATAGTTACAAACCACCACCACCCCCACCCCCTAGAAATAATCAACAGATAGTTACAAACCACCACCACCCCCACCCCCC